TTTATGTTCATTTTATAACGCATTTCATTTTGTTGTTTACCGGGGAGTATATTGGTTTTTCAGAACCCCATGTAGAGAAATTACTCTTTCACTTTATAAATCAAACATCTTGTGTTCATTTCATCTACTGCTAGATTTTTTTGTAATAACTTTCATACTTACAGTTTCCTCTCGGATTTTTTATGGGGGGGGATTCCTAAATTATATACTCAAGTGATGGAAATGTAGAACAAATTAACAATTCATTGAAACAAACATTGCGGCATATATATATTTACTCTGCATTCAGTGCAGTTATTACACCATTAGATATTGCATTTCATTTCAATTAATAATTTGTTACTCTATACGGACAACAAATTCATCTTTTGCAAACACATTGGTGCTGTCATATTCGAAATGGTCAACTGTATCTAGCTATCTTGATTGTATACTGTAATCTGACTGGTGTAAAATTGACATGCAAAAACAATAAATATATTAACATATCTTGGATTTTGATTTTGTCTATTTATTTGGTACTCAATGGTGAATGTTGGTCACTTTAAGGATACTATCACCAAATGCTGAATTTGTTGTGCTGTTTTCATTAGTGTATCTGTACCTAGGATGGATCTTCATTGTTGTAAATAAAACAGCCCCAACCTCCATTTATGTGTACTGGATGCTGCACAACCCTATGAAACAAAAGCCAAGACTTGCAATTAACTTTGGTCAACGTTCAAAATAATTACCGTACATATTTTTTTTATAACTGGTAAATCTGTTTTTTAAACTTGACACTCAAAGCAAATGCAACAATTAAAGCTTCTCATTTTAACAGAAATGAATGAAAATTTATAGATTTCCCTTTGGTAACTTGCATTTACAATTAGTGAGTTTTCATTTAGAATTCGTTCTAAATTTTATTGACATTTTAAATGTTTCAACTTTATTTCAACTTTAATTTTAAAATTCACTTCAACTACAATTATAAGTTATTTTCATTCTAAATTTTACTGCATTTATGTCAAAACTAATTATTTAAATGAATGTTACAAGAAAGATCTATAAATTTCTATAGTGGTTATACAATAGCTTACGTTTTTCAACTAATGTGATAAAAAAATCATTTTATGGTTGCACAATATATTTTTATGCATTAAATGTGGGATTGTATCTTTACTATAAAAACAATGAATATCTATAGAAACACTGCAAGCGACAGCAAGAGCTATATCTAATACAAGTGCCAAATTAATTGAAATAAGTGGGATAACCTCTGCCTCAGGATTTTTAGAATCTTTTTTGATATTTCCCTCGGCAATTCTAACACAAAAACACCTTGGAGTTGGAAGCTATTTACAAAGTTTACAGTAAACACTATATTCCTGTACAAATCCTGATGTATTGTGCAGGTAGTTTTTTTAGCTCCACTGCCATTTAAGATGATAGTCTGAGATGTTGGTATAGGTTCATCGTTCTCGGGTACCAGAAAGAAGAGTGAAATAATTCTTCTTCACAACAGAGGGCGCTATTTACACAACTTCGGGATTTGGATTCAGCAAACGGCTATGACAACGAAATGGCGGTGAATACAAATCTTGTGATACACATTTATATTGAATTGTCTGGATTGTTTTCAGTAAAAGGTGAGGTTTGTGTGTGTAAGTGGGATGGAAGCTTTCTATCCTCACCTGAAGCTTGACAGTTAACAAATCTGTGGAAAAAGTGGTGTACCGTGTGAATTTCTCTACTCAGACTTCTCTTATGTGCCACCAGCTACACAACCTGAGGGTCGCGTCATCAGATAATACTATTGTTATTGAAAAACACTCGAAAAAAAAACAGTTTTTGGTAAAGAAATGGCGTAATTCCTGGAAATTGTCCAAATTTTGCTAAAAAAAAAAACTTTTTTTTTTTTTTAGCTTTCAAAAGAAATGTTACCCTGTTTAGAGGTTTGTTTCCAGTAAAAGTTGAGCCACATTTAGAAAATTGCCGAGGAAAAGTCACCTATCTAGTCAGAACACAACGAACTTCTATCCTGTGTGAGTGAACCCTCCTCTACTTACATATAAACATTAAAAACAAAAAATATTGGTTGTTTTTGGTAACCGATACAGGCAAGATTTTTAATTTTATTGTCCTTCCAAAATTAAAGTGTAAGTATAGACTAACAGCATGATATTTCCAGATGAAAGAGCCTAACATATGCAGGAGAATGCAATTAACAGTTTTTCTTTATCACTTTTCATTCTCTCGACATTTTTTTATCAGTATAGATGTACTTATGTTTCTACTGCAAAGGATTATGGGTAAAGTATAACACCATATACATTGTTGTGAGAAGTTGAGAAAATGATCTCATCTATAACTTACCAGCCTACTTGTGCTAACCATACATCATTGTCATAGCAACAGGACTGAAAATATTCATTTGTATATTTTTCTACCTAATGCTAATTTTTTTAGAGTACCTTATACAGGTCACTTGTTGACTGAAAAAGGGAACAAAAAAAGTGTCATTCTATTTTGGTTTGCAAACATTTTAATTTCCACTATAATAATTATTTACATGAGTAATATGCATACTGAAAATTTGAACTAATTCATAACTGTATTTCTCAAGATAAGGATGAAATCATTTTTTGTTTCGGCAACAGATGTTGTGCTGCTTTATTTTACCATAACTCCTTGCTGGAAAATGAAATTGGTAGACAACATATATACTAATAAAGTTGAATATTTATAGAATGAGAAATGATATAGAAAAGATGTAAATTACATTCCTATGCATTTGTGGAGCTCTTTCATCTTGAAGTATCATGCTGTTAGTCAGGACTTCCCTTTTAAAAATATGTGGTCACTGTGGAAAAAGTGTAAATACAGAGCAAAATAGTGTGTTTTGTCTGTTTTAGAACATTTCATTGTTTCCTATATGCAAGAGTATATCTGAATATCTCAAAATTATGGTTGATGAGTGACATATGGTAAAAGAAAGATTTATATTGTACTTATTGATGTCTAGAAGTACTAAAAGAAAGAGAATATTTTTAGTGGCTTATAAGGAAATATATACGTGTTCTTTTTATGTACATTATTTTATTGTTTGTTTTTGATTTGAAAGATTGACAGTGAACCAAAAAAGGTCACTCACTGTTGACAGATTCGAATATGAAATATTGTCACTGTTATATGTGCTAAAATATGCACATGTAAAAAACTCATGAGTGAGTAGCATTCTACTTGAACCACAGATTTGAAAAATTACATCTGCCGTTAAGTTAGTTTTCAGGATAATATTTTCTTTATAAAACTAGTCATTCACTACAAATACCGGTAGGTCACATAAGACAGATAATCTTTATATGTAGATGGCCATTTATAGAGGTGGTTACTAACGAAGGTTTGACTGCAATAGTTTTATGGGACGCTAGATTCTGGTACAACAATATGTGTGGGAGTATCTAGCTGATAAAGTAACATTTTAGGGAATATTTTAATTGAAAATAAAACAGATGATTAATTGTCTGGATATATTTATAGTGTTAAGAAGGGACTCTGAAATCAAATTACAATTGTAATCAATAGCATCCACTCTTATTTGCCCTATAAAAAGTGCATTTCCAATAGAAATGCATATAAACTCTGAATCATATTTGTTGTATACTGAATCATTAATATATTACTTATTCTGACCTTAGAAATGTAATTTACATATCAAGCACATGTGTTACTGGTAAAGCAAATACAGTATTTTAGAAAATTATTTGCACTTAGAAAGGTAAATAATATCAATTGTGTAGGCCAATAGTACCCATTCTCACTGATACATAAAGTTAAATGCAGATTGTCCCACTCACTACTGCAATTTTTTGGGCTAAAACAATAAATGTTCAGCACTAATGAAAATTAAATGGATACTATTAGCTTATATCAAGAATATAAGAGGGTAAGTGGGACATGTGAGTTTGTTGACTCAATTTAAGACCATTTATTTTATAATTTTGGTCAGAGCATACAGTGTTTGGAATTGCTTTCCAGTTGTATACCCGCGAAAAGTAATTTTTTAGTTGGGCTGCTAAAAATCAAAACTTACATGCCTGGTTGCTGTTTTTTTCATGGTCAGCTTCAATACAAATTTTTAAAAATGCAATTTTACTGAATACATTGAATAAAGTTGAATGTCATTCTCCTCTGATGGCTCATTGTGAAACAAAGAACGCAACAATTGACAATTGGATATTTTTGATGGTGCTTCCTTGGAATGAGATAGAAGTATTTTTAAATAATCTGCAGGACTGGTAACATTTGACAGTTACACTGGCACACACTTTATTTGACTATAGCCCTTAACTGTGTTGCTCACATGTGTAACATTTATGTTGTAAAAAGAATAGTCTGAAGGAGTTCACAGATACAAGTCTAAGGTGAAGTGTGAAAACTAGTGACACATTGAGTTCACTTATCGGAAAGATTAGTGAAATCACAAAAACTCGCAGTAAGTGAGCCAAACATAAATATGCGCAGTACATACTGAAGTTTTCTCTGTTTAATTATAGTCTATAATATGAAATATTCA